AAATAGCCAAGGCAATCCTAAGCAAAAAGAACAAAGAAGGAATCTTCATGTTACCTGACTTCAAACTATACTACAGGGCTATAGTAACCAAAACAGCATGGTACTGGTCCAGAAACAGACACATAAACCAGTGGAACAGAAGAGAGAGCCCAGAAATAATGCCACACACCTACAACTGTCTAATATTCAACAAAGTTAACAAGAACAAACAATGAGGACAGGACTCCCTATTCAATAAATGATGTTGGGATAACTGGCTAGCTATATGCAGAAGAGTGAAACTAGACCCCTTTCTTACACCATATACAAAAATCAACTCAAGATGAATTAAACACTTAAATGTAAAACCTAAAATCATAAAAATCCTGGAAGATAACCTAGGAAATACCATTCTGAACATAGGCCCTGACAAAGATTTCATGACAAAGATGCCAAAAGCAATTGCTACAAAAACAAAAATGGGCAAATGGGAACTAATTAAACTGAAGAGCTTCTGCACAGCAAAATAAACTATCAACAGAGCAAACAGACAACCTACAGAATGGGAGAAAATATTTGCAAATTATGCATCCAACAAAGGTCTAATATCCAGAAAAGTATGTAAAGGACATGAACACACATTTCAAAAGAAGACATACACATGACCCACGAGCCTATGAAAAGATGCTCCACATCACTAATCATTACAGAAATGCAAATTAAAACCACAATGAGATACCATCTCACACCAGTCAGAATGGCTATTACTAAAAAGTCAAAAAATAACAGATGCTGGCAAGGTTGCAGAGAAAAGGGAACACTTATACACTGCTGATAGGAATGTAAACTAGTTCAGCCTTTGTGGAAAACAGTGTAGTGATTCCTCAAAGGACTTAAAACAGAATTACCATTCAACCCAGCAAGTTCATTATTGGGCATATACTCGAAGGAATATAAATCGTTCTACCACAAAGACACATACATGCACATGTATATTCATCACAGCACTATTCACAAGAGCAAAGACATGGAATCAACATGACTGCCCATCAATGGTAGACTGGATAAAGAAAATGTGGTACATATGTACCATGGAATACTACACAGTCATAAAAAAGAACAAGATCATGTCCTTTGCAGCAACACAGATGGAACTAGAGGCCATTAACCTAAGCAAACTAAGAAGGAACAAAAAAACCAAACAAACAAATACCGTATGTTCTTGCTTATAAATGCACCTAAACGATGCAACACATAGACACAAAGAGGGGAACCACAGACACTGGGGGCCTACTTGAGGGTGGTGGGTGGGAGGAGGGAGAAGACCAAAAAAACTACCTACTGTATACTATGTTGGTTACCTGGGAGATGAAATAATCTGCACACCAAATCCCCATGACACGTAGTTTACCTATATAATAAACCTGCTCATGTATCCCTAAACCTAAAATAAAAGTTAAAAAAAGAGAGGAAAACCAAATACTGCATATTTTCACTTATAAGCGGGGGCTAAACCTCAGGTACTCATTGACATAAAGATGACAACAGTAGATACTTGGGACTACTAGACGGGATAGTGGGGAAGGGCAGTAAGCACTGAACAATTAGCTATTGAGTACTATGCCCACCAGCAGGGAGATGGGATCATTCATACCCAAACCTTAGAATCATGCGATATACCCATGTAATAAAAATGCACATGTGCCATCGAATCTAAAATAAAAGTTGAAATTATAAAAAATAAAATAGTTTTTTAAATTATCATAGTAAGAGATTTAATTCAGAAAAACTCAAGAGAATAAACATTTGTAAAGGGTCATGCTCTGGAGAAGTCCAGTACCTTAAAAAATGAAATTTTTATATTCAACATTACTGCATGTACTGTAACAACCTCAGGACCTTGTGAATATTAAAAGTGAAAGCAATTTATCTGTCACCCATACAAACCATTCTAATCCAATTGTTTCCCCAAGTGATTTCCTGGAAACATTAATTCCACAGAATTTCTACAGACAGTAGGCATTAAATATGGGAGACTAAAATAGCAGTTCAGAGTGAGGGATCTAGGTTCAGAGAAGTTGAGTTCAAATCATACGTCCACCACTTATGTGATCTTGAGTAAATTTCTTAATTGCAGGCCGGGCGCGGTGGCTCAAGCCTGTAATCCCAGCACTTTGGGAGGCCGAGACGGGCAGATCACGAGGTCAGGAGATCGAGACCATCCTGGCTAACAGGGTGAAACCCCATCTCTACTAAAAAAATACAAAAAGCTAGCCGGGCGAGGTGGCGGGCGCCTGTAGTCTCAGCTACTCGGGAGGCTGAGGCAGGAGAATGGCGTGAACCCGGGAGGCGGAGCTTACAGTGAGCTGAGATCTGGCCACTGCACTCCAGCCTGGGCAACAGAGCGAGACTCCATTTCAAAAAAAAAAAAATTTCTTAATTGCCTTATGCTTCAGTTTTCTAATCTGTGAAATAGGAATAAAAATGGTATTTACATCACAGGATTATTGTATGAATACGTTAATACATGGTAGTATTCAATAATGAATAGTAAGCACATAGTAAGCATTCAATAATTGTACTGAATTATTAGTATTGTTACTGTTATTAGTATGAGTATTACCTTCATGTTAAAAAAAAAATAGTCAAATATGCTTGGGATATGTTGATTAATAAAATGAAACATGTCTCTCCTGAAAAAATAAATATAGTTTGAAACCATGTCACAGTCAATAATTATATTTCATAATTTGTTAAATATTTGCATCATACCTTAAACACAGTGACCTATTGGACAGACTAAAAATATTGAACCCTATCCAATTTGTTGAAAACCTACAGTTCTTCATAGTCTAAATCCTCCAATAAATTTAAAGGCATACACATTTTTTAACCATATGATAGCTAATTTGCACACTTCACATGTTTTGCTATTCTCAGCGAAGACTGATCTGGTCATAAATATTTTATGAAATCTTCATGTGCTGTAGCAGAGTTTAATTTTCATACATATTAGGATTCAGCTGGAACAAAGCATTGTGATATTTGGGCTTTATATTTGCAAAGGCTATATGATGACTTATCTACATTAAAATAGGTTTTAATATTTCTTGAGACTGCAGATGCAATCTATAGGGTAATTAAGAATCTATGTTAGCAAGAAAGACAATATGTCATTCCTTTCATCTCTTTGAATCCATCCTGTTTTCCTAAATTTCATGTGTGGAGAACACCCACATATTCTACTGAGTTCCTTTGTAAACTCCCCTGTTTTACTACTTAATGTTTATTTTAGTGAAGCATGTCATGGTCACTAAAAACTGCAATTAAAGAACTGCAAACAAATCTTTAGTATGACCTGGGGAAGAAAAAAACATTTCACAATTGATTATAAATCCCTAGGTCTGTCTTTTTTGGGAGATTGATTTAGTAATAGACAGACTGTTGTTCCTCTTTTGACATGGGTTTCAAGAAGTAATAAAAGGCACAAAAGTAAGAATTGGTCTGATGAGAGCATGTGGACAGAATTCTCTAGATACACAACTAATGTATATAAATCTATCACCCCTAAATCCAATCCAAGAGCAGTGTCTCACATATAGACTCTAGACCCAAAAAGGAATACATATAATCTTCATTAGTGCCCTTCTTTACTTTTAAGGAGCTGCAAATACTTAGACTACAGCAAATGTTATTAACGTATGGCACCACAAACTCTCAGGCGTCTCCTTCTTATCTAGGAAGAATTTTCTCACTCATCTCACCTGTTCTTATACCTTGGTTCTCCTTCTCAACTGCTACTCCAAAGTGCACAGTTTCTTGTAATACACTCGGGACACTTCCTGACTTCCCAGTGCTTGGAATTAGGGAGAAAAGTTATCTGTTCTAAATCTCTCTCTACTTTCTGCATCCATTCATGAAATTGTGTCCTTTCCTGTCAGGATGGAAGTGAGGAAAAAAAAAAAACAAACTAAGCAGACAAAAGTGTAGGCAGAAGTCCATGAACCCCATGGGTTAACCATTTTATCCAATTCAACATGGAAAAAAACGTGTTTCCTCAGAAAAATATATAATAGTAAATTACGAACTTTGAATTGTCTCTTTGAGAACTTTGAATTCTCCTGAGAAGGTGGTAGTGAAAATCAAAATTCTAATTTTCAAGTTAGATATGCATAAAAGCCTTTTTTAAATAATAGAGTCTTATATGACATTGTAGTCAAAAATGTTTGTGGTAGGAAAGAATAGGAAACACACAAGTTTAAGTCAATGACAATGCTTAAGATGTAATTCAATAATTTGAAAGATGTTTTATTCATACATAGCAGCAAATGAATAATATATTGTTATAGAATGAGATCATGCTTTAACTATTATTTTGTAGTCTTATTTTATAATTAAAAACATATTTCCATGTCAATAATTATAAATGTTTATCATTACAGATGCTGCAAAATATTCTATTTTGTGAATAAGCCATATTAAAAATTCCTCTATTTCTGCCTCCATTATAGGCTCTTTCCAGATTTTTCATTATTACAAACACAGTGATAACATAATAAATAAGTTATAGAATCCTGAACATTTATCTTTTTATTTTATTGAAAAATTGATGATTGAAAGATCGTGAGTATTTCTAAGCTTTTGTGTACACATTTTCAAATTGCCCTTCATGGAAGTTAGTAACAATTTATGTTCTCAACAGTAGTGTATAAAAGTCCCGTTTTCATACTTGACATACTTCTATGACATATATTAATTTGTAAATACATGATTATCTATTATTTTTATCTAAAATGAGACTGAAGCATCACCATTCTTCTAACCTCCTGTTCAAGCTGACATCCAGGAAATACAAATAGCTTGGGTTTGCTCAAATATGGATGGATTTTCTTAAATATATGCCACTCAAATTACTTCTCAAGATGTACACAATTCACAGCGCTCCATTGTTTGCAGCGTCTATTTGAATCATCTTGTCAATACTCAGACAGTATTCAAAGAATACGCCGTTCTGAACTTACCCTTGCAAGATGCCTTAGAAGTGTCTGCCGTCAGCTGCAGCATACCTTCCTCCTTTCATCTGCAGATTTCTGAAACCGGTTTTGGCACGAAATGTATCCTCATGTGGCATGGATACTAGAATATTGTTATGGGAATTTTTGAAAACAAAAATAAAGGAATATAAAAGCCTAGAATAGTTTGCTAATACATATTTCATCTAGAAGCTGGGCATTAAAACATCATTCTTTGGCTCCCATTAGACAAGGGGAAAGTTGATAGTCTGATCATAATTATGCCTGCATTGTCTTACTTTTAACACCCCTTATCTCAGAATTTTCTGCAGATCATTTTACCGGCAAACAAGAGTATCCCCGAGCATGTTTCTTTTTGTAAGGTTTTCTTTCTTTAAGTCGCTTCTCTTCAACTCTGGGATTTCCCTAGTTTGGATTTGCTGGTGAATTTCTGCCTTCTCTGTCTCACTTGAGACCTTTCCCCAACATTGGAAAAATAAAATAGAAACTGAAAATGAACTTTGCAAAAACGTCAGTACACAATAATAAAGAAACTAGGAGAAGAGGGCAAGTTCAAAAATTAATAAAGATAAAATTCCCCATAATCTGCTATGCTAATTCTTTGCATTTTTTCCCAATAAAATAAGACAAATTGCTAAAATAAGACCACACAGAACCAACACAATATTATGACCTTTTATAAACTGAGAAGTGAAATGTTAGCGGCACAGAGTATTCTGGTCACAAGGAGAAAAGATTAAGGAACTACAGTTGTCCTTTTTGTTTTTGTTATTCCCCCTGCCATATGAGGAAACATGGAGGCAAAGCAAGGTGGAAAAAGACAACCCTTAAGCCACAGGGTCTGGAATCTGTCTTAAAAGTCAAGACAACTTACAGCTAATTGTAGCTGTCTTAAAACCTTTCTGCGGAGGACCCACCCAGATCTCTAGGCAATTACAGCCTCACGGTGGAGATGGAAAAGTTAAAACACTATTAAAATCACAGTCAGTCAGAGGCAGAATTGGTCACAGAATTCTGCTTTTATTTTCTCCATCCCAGATCTCTGATAATTTTGGAGTCTGGAGTTCCTCTACTTTGCAGAGAAAAATAAGAAAAGAAAGAGGACCTGTAGGAACATTTGCACCCCCACCTAGAGTTTTCCACTTAAATGAAGTCACAATCTCAGTGTGTGATTCAATATATTTTCTTAATTGTAAATACCTTTTCTAGTTTTCTCCTTCTGTTGCTTGTGCTAATCCTTATGTTTTTCTCCATTAAATTTTTTTTTTTTTTTTTTTTTTAGAGAATTGAAGGACTCACATTAGGTATGAAAACAAACACATATGAGTTGAGATTTCTTAGAAAATACATAATTTTAAAAATTTATTAAAGTCATTATTCATACTCCTCTCTCTCTTTTTTTTTCTCTCTCTCTCTCCTTTCTCTGTGTGTGTGTCTCTCTCTGCTCTCTCTCTCTCCTCTCTGTCCTCTTCTCCTTGGTCTCTCTCTCTCTCTCTCTCTCTCTCTCTCTCTGTGTGTGTGTGTGTGTGTGTGTCTTTCTCTCGTCTCTCTCTCTCTCCATCTGTCTCTCCTGTCTCTCTCCTCTCTGTCCCTGCCTCTCTCTGTCTTTCCCTGTCTCTCTCTCTCTCCTCTCTCTCCTCTCTGTGTGTCTCTCTCTGCTTTCTCTCTCCTCTCTCTCCTCTCCGTGTGTCTCTCTCTGCTTTCTCTCTCCTCTCTCTGTCTCTCTTCTCTCCCTCTCTGTCTCCCTCTCTTTGGGTTCCTCTCTGTGTGTCTTTCTCTCCTCTCTCTCTTTCTCAGTCTTTCTCTCTCCTCTCTCTCCCTATCTCTCTTTCTCCCTGTTTCTCTCTCCTCTGTCTCTCTCTCTCTTCTCTCTCTCTTTTTCTCCTCTCTCTCTCTGTCTCCCTCTCTCATCTCTCTCTCCCTGTTTCTCTCTCCTTTCTCTCCCTTCCCTTCTCTCTTTTCCTCTCTCTTGGTCTCTGCGTGTCTTTCTCTCCTCTCTCTCTCTCTCTTTCTCTCTATCTCCCTCTCTCATCTCTCTCTGTTTCTCTCTCCTTTCTCTCCTTTCCCGTCCCTCCCCTCGCCTCCCCTCCCCTCCCCTCCGTTGTTCCCTCCCCCTCCCTTCTCTTCTCTTTCTTCTTGTTTCTGGGTCTCTGTGTATGAGTCTTTCTCTCCTCTTTCCGTCTCTCTCTGTCCCCTCTCTCTAGATCTCTTCCTCTCTCTCATCTCTTTCTTCTCCTCCTCTCTTCTCTTTCTCAGTCTCGCTCCCTCTCGTTTGTCTCTTTCTTAAAAAAAAAAGGTAATAAAAAAATGTCATTATTCACAGTCGTCCAGAGGCCCTGCAAAATCTACCCCTGCTTATTTCTTCAAACTCACTATTCTCTTTTTTTTTTTTTTTTTTTTTGAGACGGAGTCTTTGAGCCTGCCGCCCAGGCTGGAGTGCAGTGGCGACGATCTCTGCTCACTGCAAGCTCCGCCTCCCAGGTTCACGCCCCTTCTCCTGCCTCAGCCTCCCCAGTAGCTGGGACTACAGGCGCCCGCCACCACGCCCGGCTAATTTTTTGTATTTTTTTTTTAGTAGACACGGCATTTCACCGTGCTTGCCAGGATGATCTCAATCTCCTGACCTCGTGACCCGCCCTCCTCAGCCTCCCAGAGTGCTGGGGTTACAGGCGTGAGCCACCGCGCCCGGCCCTTCTCTCTGCTCTTAGGCTCTGTACAGGTCAACACTCCACGCTCACTCCTGGTTTAGGTTTTTAAAGATCCTATTCTGTCTGCCTAGAGCACTCAGTTCCCAGTTGTTCACATGTCTGTCTCCTTGTCATTTATATTTGGCTTTAAATATTCTCTTAGAAAAATTTTATCTTTCCTCCTCTGGTAAGTTATAATTTTCAAAAAGTTAAAATCATGACTATCATACTAATGGCTGAATGAATATTAGATTTATTTCACTCATCAATAAGGGAACCAGAAAGATAGTTTTCCTTTTTCCAAGAAAAAATTAAGAAACAGATGTTTATGTATCATTCCGGAAAGGTATACTGAAATAAATTTGCTATATTAGAGATAAAACTAGTTATATCCTATAAGACAATAAAGCTATAAAATTGGACGTGATCATTTCTGCCAGATAGAACCCACTGGTATTTCTACTGAACAATAATCCTCATGTTAACATGGAACTTTTCAGAGTCTGGACCCTAATCACTAGTAAATATTAAGACAAGCAATGATAGATTGACACATCCCTAAAGAATTAAATCACTTTTAGTGGCTGATAGTCAGTAGACCAGTATGGTATTAAAGAAACATGCAGTAATTTTTTTTTTTTTTTTTTTGAGACAGAGTCTTGCTCTGTCGCCCAGGCTAGAGCACAGTGGCCGGATCTCAGCTCACTGCAAGCGCCGCCTCCCGGGTTCACGCCATTCTCCTGCCTCAGCCTCCCGAGTAGCTGGGACTACAGGCGCCCGCCACCGCGCCCGGCTAATTTTTGTATTTTTAGTGGAGACGGGGTTTCACCGTGTTAGCCAGGATGGTCTCGATACCTGACCTCGTGATCTGCCCGTCTCGGCCTCCCAAAGTGCTGGGATTACAGGCCTGAGCCACCGCGCCCGGTCGTAATTTTTCTTAAGAAAAGGTAAAGAAGGCTCTTACATCCTGGACACCGTGCTTCGTATCACCTTCTTTTATTTCTTTGTTATTGCACCAGTTACTATAAGAAATCATCTCATTCTTTTTTGTTTAATTTCTTCTTTATTGCCTGCCTCTCCACTATGAGTTATCCAAGAGCAGAGTATTTGTCTTTCTTATCCTATATCCTGAGCCCTCAAAACAATTCCTGGCATATGGTAGATGCTCAAGAAAGGTTTCTTGGATGACAGGGTGGCCAATAATGTTTTAGTGAAAGGGGAGAATGCATAAAAATTAGAAAGCAGTGGAAACTGAGTATTTGGTTGAGAAGAGAAAGCATACACGAAAGAAGAAAACACAGAAAAATAGATGGTAATATATAGTAGTGCTGGATGATACACATACTAAGTGTTTTAGAAGTAATCATATACATACTAAGTGTTTTAGAGAACTGTCAAGATGCTAACTTCCATAGGAAAATACTGTAACTTCTAAATGTTGAAAATATGACTCCACAAGAAATATTTATGGCTAAATTTGATAATAAAAGAAGTTCTACAATGATAGAACCTCTATTAAATGTTAGAAGTATAAGCTATGTTTCAATATGTATATTACAGAATTTAGATTACGGAGTATATGTTTAAGAGGCAATTCAAGTGAAAATCTGAATAGAAACTTGAAATTTACTTAAAGCAAAACATTTGTTGAGTTCACACATTGTTTAAGGCAGACTGTGTATTATGATCTAGTCTGTTTTTCATAAAACTCCCTTCACCTCGTCTGATGAGTGGCAGGTAGACATTAGCCTGAAAAAAGCATTTATATACTTGAAAAAGGCATGGCAGTTTCCCTATGGTGGGGGTGGGGGAAAGGATTTAGCATGCCCTTTTACTTTCTCTTATTTTTGTCTCCGTTGTTATTTTATTCTCTGCATTTGGCTCTTAACATCCCAGAAATTAACTCTCAGATATCTGAAAACAGACTATGGAGAAAAGGGGAAACTTGATAGATGTCTAATTCTTTAAGAAGTATTTCCAGCCTTCCCTAAAAAACAGAAGTAAACAAAAAGGGAGAAAATGTTAGATTGATAAGTCTGAAGCTGAATGGATCAATAGAAAGTCAACAAATGCCATCCAATTCAAAGTTCCTAACAAGTTAAAATATTGTGTGTGCCTGTGTATAAAAATAAAGGGAAAGCTTAAGTTACTTACATTCCTGCTTAGTTTTATAATCCGTAAAAACTAAGTTAAACATTCTTAATTCATTTGGAATTGTGTGGTTGGCATTGGATTTGTAGAAAGAAGAATAAAAATACAATGGAAAACTGCTGCCACAACAGAACAACATGCATTTCTTTCCATGTAATCATGACTTTTTTTCTAATTTGGAAGATAGTCAGTATTCAGCTTTTCTAGTAAATTTTTATTTCCAATAAAAAGAAGGCATAGAAATTCCCAAGCCCGCTAGTAATGATTTGTTTTACGGTGTTTATTCAGTGACATGACAATTTCATGAATAATAGGGTTTTTTTGAGAAACTAAAAAGCTTTTTATAGGATCTTACAATCTTCAGCAAATAAAAGAAAGCAAGTTGAAGATAAATTGCAGCAGTATGATTTTTATGTAAAATATGAAGACATGCAAAAGTAAATATTATTTTTAAGGAATACTCACACACTTGGTGAAATTACTAAGGAAAACAAGAAAATGATATCACAAAATGCATAATAACTGAGATCTGGGTAGAAAGGGCAGTATAATTACGGAAGGCAAACAGGGAGCATTGAACATATTGAAAGTGTTCTGTTTCTTAAGCTGATTGGTGGGGGACGAATTTTAGGTATATTATGCTTTACATTATACACATTATATGATAAAATAATTCATAGTTTTCAAAGTGCCTTATATTTCTGTTTCTAGTGTTATCATAATAGATTAAAAATCCTAAAATGTCTCATCTGTAAAGTTAGAAATGCAACGTAGTATAG